CCAGCAGTAGTCTAGACAGCAGTGAGTGGTGTTGCTTTCCTTACCACACTGGATGGGGTGCTCCAAACACTCATTACATCTAGAAGGAAAGAGGATGTTGGTAGAATGCTAAGAACAAGAATACACCAAAATATATGGGTACATTTAAAAAAAGATTTCTTTATTTATGCATGTAGAACTGGGGGTCAGGCCAGAGGTGCAGGGGCGGTGAGAGGATTCACCAGAGACAGAGTGGGGAGCAGCGGCCGGGTCAGGAGAGGTCTGCCGCGCCATGTGGGTCAGCTCCAGGGCTGGAGATCTAACTCTGAGGCTGTGGCCAGCTTGCAGTGTTGCATCCTAACCCGTTGCATCACCAGGGAGGGCCTAGATGGGTACATTTTTTAATTGCTATTATCAATTATTGTGAAAGATCCGACAGTAAGGATCAAAGAGAAAAATAAACTGACCACCAAGAGAAACATCGAGGTTAAGGGAGGGTATTCTCAAGATAATTATGACTTTAGGATAGGACTTATTTCCAAACGTGTCTTTATAAAATAGTCCCCAGAGCAGTAAACACTATCAACCATATAATGTACAGATAAAAGGCTTTGAATAATCATTGAATGCCATATTAATGCACACTTTGGTTTTAAAGTATTTAAAATAATGGGGGAGGAGGGATTTGGGGGGAGATGTCAAAAACCAAAGGGATACATGTGCTGATGTACTGAACATATTTTCTTAAAATACCATTTCTTCTATTTTGGAAACTATATAGTTTTTGAGAATTTCTGTCAGTGGTGTGGGTGTGATATTGCATTTCCATGCGTTTATGAGTGTGAACAGCAAAGATGACCAACATAATAATCCCAGTTGCTTCTAGAAGTCCAAGCATATGAAGATTAAAAAGCTAACAAAATAAATACTGACTGGGTGCAAGAAATTACAAGTGCTGGAAAGAAGGGAATTCTTATTCACTGCTGGTAGGCGGTGAATCAGCACAGCCATTTACTGAAAGCAGGATGGAGAGCCCTCCAAAAACTAAAACAAATTCTATAAGATCCAGTTATCACACTTTTGGGTATTTACCAAGAAATTAAAAAAACAAAACACTAATTGAAGAGATCACATACCTCCTTGTTTACTACAGCATTCTTTACAAGATCCAAGAAATGGAAACAGCATTAAGTCTCTACTGGCTGCAGAATGAAGAACACATAGTTTATCCACATAGGGGAATACTAAGCAGCTATCTAAACTGGATGAATCCAGCCATTTACCACAACATGGATTGAACCAGACTCTACTATGCTCAGCAAGTAAGTGAGACTGAGAAAGACGAATTCGTGATTTTACTCACAGGTAGTTAATAGAGACACAAACAGGTGAGTAAATTTTGGGACAGGGGGGAGAACAGCATAGGGAAGAAAAGAACTGGATGTTTAGAA